ATCCATGCTACTGGTAGTACTTCTAGTCTCGGTGGCTTCGGCCTTTGCCTTCCTCAAGCACCTTTGGATGCTAATTGAGCCCGTACTCATGCATCCCATTAACTACTTCAACCACTTGTCCAGTCTCTTGCGCATAAAATGCAACCGTATTGTCGTCCTTCCTAAAAACAATGATTCGACACCACCAAAAACTTCCGCACCGTCTCATTGCCAAATTGTGTCACGGAGACCCACCCCAAAATGAGGATCATGTCGCTGACTAACAATGTCATGCCCCCATAACCACGAAGGACATGAGTGTCCCAACAAGCATGGAGTGGCCCATGCTTGCTCCTCGAAGTTCTCTGGCAATACAGGGCACATCACCACAAGGAGTCTGCTTCTACATAGCATAGGTCTTCTGTATTAGTCATGTACAAACCGACAAGGTCTCTACTACCATATGTAGCATAATTTCCATTGGACCACCCCCTAACTGACTCGTGGTCTATAAACCTACCTTGTAATAGTAAAAATAAAATGAACTGCTTAGAGTGAACTTCGAGTCATAGTAACGTACCATGATCATGGCCTTGACGTTGTCGCGGGTGAAGTGGAGGGCGTCCTTCCCTTTGGATAGGTTCGCGTCGGCGAGGAAAGCGAGCAGGCCATCTACCAAGTCGGCGTCGGCATCGGCGGGGTTCTTCCCTCTCCTCACGTGGTCGTCGATTATCTTGTCGGTAAACTTGTCGACGGCGCTGCGCGCTGCGTGGAGGCGGCGGTTGAAGCCCAGCCGGGCCGTCCACCGGAGCCACGGGAAGTAGTCGCCGGCGTGGAACTCGCCTAAGATCTTGGAGAACACCCGGAGGATGACGACGAACTCGTCCAGTCCCTCGTCGCCGGCGCTGAAGGCAGCGCGGAAGATGACGCCCACGGTGTGGTTGAAGATGAGCTCGCCTAGGTTCACGGCCTGGCCGCTGCGCCTGCCCACGTCGCGGGCCAGCGCCCCGTACCCGTCGCGCACGGCGAGCCACGTCTCGGCGCGGCGCCGGCTGAAGAGGGTTGTGGCGCAGAGCCTGCGCATCTCGCGCACGTGGGCGCCGCCGTCCGCGAACGCCAGGTCGGAGCGGCCGTAGGTGAGGTAAACGTTGGCGGCGGTGGCCGGGCGGTTCGAGAAGGCGCCGTCACGCGCCTGCAGGACCTCCCGCGCGTGCTCCGGCGTCGACACCGCCACCACGTGGAGGCAGCCGAGGCGGAGGTGCAGCAGCCCGCCGTACTTCTCCGCCAGCGCCACCAGCCCGCGGTGCGTCAGCTGGTTCACCAGCGTCATGTTACCGACGATGGGCAGCGGCTTCGGGCCCGGAGGGAACGGCGCGTAGCCCCGCCGTCTCCGTCTCCGCAGGGTGGCCAAGGCCACCGAGACGAGGAACAGCCAGACCAGTGGGTCCTGGAGACACTCCACGGCCATCTTTGCGAAGGCAGCCATTAATGGCATGCACGATCTAGCTCAGGATACTACGCTTTCTCACTTGCAAGCCAGAATATATAATCCTATACAATGCCGTAGCGAGGAATTTTCAACGCCCCGGACCAGCCTTGTACCAGTGCGCTCCTGTAGCTACAATGCACGAAGCATTTTCTCTTCACGCCCTGGGCCACGGCCTGGTGGCAGCCCGGGGCTTGTCGACGCCCCTGATCCTATATACTCCCTCCGGAAATTTTTGTCTTAAATTTGTTTAAATACAGATGTATCAATTCATATTTTAGTATCATATATATCCATATCTAGACGAATCTAAGACAAAAAAATTCGGACGGAGGAAGTATATATAGCTAAATCCAATACTTGTGTGTGTAAATTCCAGAAAACATACCATGGTAGTAGCTGCTTAAACATCTAACCTTTGTCAGGTAGAGAGAATAAAGCAATTGAAACACAAATTTATTCCTCTACGTGTTGCTCGTGGGCAAATTTATAAATTCATGGGTGATCCAGGATATTGCTTGATAATGTAGCCAGGTGGTACGGAGGGTTTGTAAAACAATCAGCTGGCGGATGCAATGAGCACTTGCGCAGTACTCCCAATAATTGGTGAGGGCGCAGAAGGGTGTTGATGTTCTAGCTAATTAAGGGCGTCTCGGATGGTAGCCCCTAAACTGACACAAGAAATGTCATTTTTCACGTTCGAATGTGGTCAACAGACGTGATGTGAAAAGTAGCCATCTAATCTTTAATCAGAAAAAATCTCCATTTGTCCTGTTGAGGAGAGAGAGAGAGAGGGGAGGAGGACAATGTGGTTACTTTTTATTGGTCAAGTGCATGTCCAAACTCCGGCATAACTCTTTTATGTTGCTCCGGTTTGCGGGAAAATGAACGTCTTGACCACTCCACGGATGCAGGTCCTTGTTGGATGATAAGAGTTGACAATAGTGCTCCGGACACCACAATTCGAACATATACGGGTCAGGGTGTGCATTCGGTTTTTTCATTTTGATTCAATTCGGTTTATACGGTTGTGGTTTATACAGTTTTTATACTTTGGTTTATACGGTCTTATACATAGATACGGTTCGGTCTTAGTAATAATGATTAATTACCAGATTAACTAAAGTTGACATGAATTTTTGAGCCAACACCTAACTTTTTCATGTGTAAATACATGATATGTATCATAACGAGGAAAAAACAATTATAAAAGGATAAAGAATGGACGTTAGATAGGCAGCTAGGCGAATCACGTAAACTAAAGCACTGAATGGGCTAGAAAGTATTGTACTATAGTAGCCCATTATGCTTTTAAAACCAAAAAACCACATTTTTGGTTAATTTGGTTTAGCCATATGGATTTTGGTTTCTAACCGAAAAAACTGAATGCAAATGGTTTTCATATTTCAAAATTGAAACTGAAATCGAAACCTAAAAAGACCAAAATTTCTGTTCGGTTCATTTTTTTGTTTGGTTTTTGGTTCGGTTTTGCACACTTGATATACGGAAGCTTTGACTGTCTCTTTTGAAAATGCCCTAAGCACCATAAGTTGTCAAAGTACAACCAAATGATGACGATATATACTCAGGATGGTCCCAATGGTGGCATGTTGCTCCAATTATCGTTGCATGTTGTTTTTCTATCTTTGCTATTTGACTTATTGGTGCCTCCTGGATCACAGAATGTTGTTTTGTTACCAATATCACTACAGGAATTGGCTTCAATGCCGACGGCCTGAAGCCGTTGGCATAATACCAAAAACCCTCGGCAAAAGGTATGCCAAAGGCTATCGTCGGCATATGGTCGTCGTCTTCAATTTCCTCAGCAGCTAGCCAGATGGTCGTTGACATATAAGATCGATCAGCATACATGACAATGCCGAAGGTTTTCTTGCCTTCGGCATTGAAAAGCCGTCAGAAAAAAAATATTGTGGCCTGTTGGACATCGTCTGGACATGTATGCCGAGGGCTCTGCCGTCGGCATAAATCACCACATGGCAACACCTAGTACCCCTTGGTGTTGTGCTATGCCAAGGGCAAAGCTGTCGGCATACTTGGGGGATATACCGAGGGCATTGTCGTCAACATACATCGCCACACGGCTGCACCTGGTGCTCCCTAGAAGGGTGCTTTGCCGAGGGCGAAGTCATCGACATACCTGGGAACTATGCCAAGGGTTTTACCATGGGCATACGCGCAACGTGGAGGCACCTAGTGCTATGCCGAGGGCTTAGCCTTCGGCATATAGGTGTTTCTATTTTTTGGCTTTTGCTTCTGCCGTGCAATTTGAAATACCCACATGCCCTAATACCCAGATACATAACATTGATCATCATCAAATCCACATGTATAACATCAAACCACCAGGAAGGATATGGTTCACAATTCAAATAAAGGATTGTAGAAGGACTTAAGTGCATAAACTCAATGCCATTAACAAAGCAATTAATAAAAGTAATAAGAATCCGCAATGTAATTTTATTACTAATACAAAAGTAGGATCTAAAAAGTGAATAAAGGAAACTTTAATGATAAGTATTATTATTAAAATGAAATGATATCAGTATACAATCTACAATAAGAAACTATAAACCTTATTCATATAAATAAAATTACAAATATTCAAGATACACTTGAAGAAAAACAAATAAAAGAAGAACGGAAATGCCTTCAAACGTCTAACACAAACACACAACAAACATGAAAGAGTTGTGTGAGGTAAAAATGTAGCATTCCCCTAAGGGAAGTGCCTTTGCTATTGGAGCTACCACTTAGGAATTTGGAAACATTAGCAAGTCGGGTAGGAGAATGATCCAAGAGAAAAGCAGAGCCAACAAAACATGGATCAGAAAAAAACCCAAAGATCAACTCAATTTAGCACCAACTCCATGCTTATGAAATCCCTTAATTGATTCAGGTTAGTTTTTAGATTAAATCCAACTAACCCATCACTATAATAAATCATTTGTCTAATGACAATGGACAAATGAATTCATGTGTACGGAATAAAGCCAACAATTGATAAAGATCACAACCAGACATGCTTATCGTAATCGGCGAGCAGGCAGACCATCTACCAAGTCAGTGTCGGCATCGACGGGGTTCTTCCATCTCGTGAGGTGATCGTCTATTATCTTGTCAGTAAACTTGTCAAGGGCGTTGCGCTCTGTGTTGAGGCGATGGTTGAAGCCCAGCCGGGCAGTCCAGCGGAGCCACGGGAAGTAGTCGCTGACATGGAACTCGCCTAAGATCTTGGAGAATACCCGGAGCGGCCGTAGTTGAGGTAAACGTTGGCGGTGGTGGCCGCCCGTTTCAAGAAGCGGATGTACGTCCCGCGCCGATAGAACGTTGGCGGTCGTGCTCGCTTTCCTTTGGAAATGCCTAAGCCCCTTAAGTTGTCAAGGTAAGACAACCAAATAATGTCGATATATACTTAGGACGGTCCCAGTAGTGGCATGATGCTCCAATTATTGTTGCATGTTGCTTTGCTATCTTTGCTATTTGAGTTAGTGGTGCCTCCTGGATCACATAATGTTGTTTTGTTACCCGTATCACTACATGAATCATCTTTGATGTCGATGGCCTAAAGCCGTCGGCATAATACCAAAAACCCTCAGCAAAGGACTATGTCGACGGCTACCCTCGGCATATAGCCGTCGTCTTCAATTTCCTCGGCAACTAGCCAAATGGCCATTGACATATAAAAGCCGCTGGCATACATGGCAACGGCAAAGGTTCTCCGTTGTCGTCGACATAGAAAAACAGTCATGAAATAAGAAACATTGTGGTTAGTTGGACAGCTCCCGGGCATGTATACCGAGGGATCTACTGTCGGCATAACTCGCCACATGGCAGCACCTAGTACTCCCTGGTGCGATGCTTTGCCGAGGGTAAAGTTGTCGACATTCTTGGGGGATATACCGAGGGCATTGTCGTCAGCATACATCACCAAGCAACAGCCACTGGTGCTCACTAGAAGGGTGCTTTTCTGAGGGCAAAGTCGACAACATACATGGGAGCTATGCCCAGGGCTTTGCCGTCGGCATATGTGCCACGTGCAGGCAGCTGGTGCTATATATGCCGAGGGCTTTGCCGTTGGCATATAGGTGTTTCAATTATTTTTTGTTTGCTTTTGCTTCTGCCCTGCAATATAAAATACCCACATGGCGTAATACCTACATACATATCAGGGATCATCATGAAATCTACATATATAACATCAAATCCACAAGTATAACATCAAACCCACATGAAGGACTTTGTTCACAATTCAAATAAAGGATTACATAAGGACTTAAGTACATAAACTACAATTCAATTAACAAACCAATTAATAGAAATAATAAGAATTCATAATGTAATTCTATTACTAATATAAAAGTAGGATCCAAAAATTGAATAAAGGAAACTTTATTGATAAGTATTATTATTACAAAATGAAATGATAAAATTATACAATCTGGAATATGAAACTATAAACTTTATTCATATAAATACAATTACAAATATTCAAGATACATTTGAAGAAGAATAAATAAAAGAAGAAAGGAAAAGTCCTACACTAAACCTATACTAAACCATCTAGTGTTTCTTCTCTTGATGATCTTCAAACCTCCAACAGAAATAACCAACAAACAGGAAATAGTTGTGTCAAGTTAAAATGTAGCATTCCCCAAAGGGAAATGCATTTGCTCTTGGAGCTAGCACCTAGGAATTTGGAAACATTAGCCAAATGCCAATAGTGACTGAGTTGCTCAAGTGAACAGTGAGAAAATAGAACCAATGAAACAGTACCAATATGCCAATAGGATCAATAGATGACAATCAGAGCAAGTCGGGTAGGAGAATGATCCAAGAGAAAAGCAGAGCCAACAAAATATGGACTAAAACCAAACCCAAAGATCAACTCAAATTAGCACCAGCTCCATGCTTATGAAATGCTTCAGTTGAGATGGGTTAGTTTTTGGACAAATGAATTCCTGTGTACGGAATAAAGCCAACACTAGATG